ACGGAAGTCACTAAAACGATATACAACGGATTTACGAAAAGGCTGACAGGCAGATAAGGGCGAGATGGCATGCCTCAAGTACATCCAGGATCGCCAAGATCATGTGTAAGAGACCCTTAGGAAAACTCGCTTGCTTCTTACTCATACAGTCTCGAAAGGATTGGTGGATAACTGTTTTTTTCTTGATAGGGCACAACCTGCTGGCATCATATACGAGCCGAATGAGCATAAGTGATAACGATACATGCAAAAATTGCAAGTTAACATGAGAGATGTCTTTGTCCAGCACTATCTACAACTCGTCTCAAGTATTTAAGAGCTTCGAAGTTCAGAGGACTGGACAAAGTATCCAATGTAGACATAAAGTCGCTTTTAAAGTGATTAATTCTTCACCGCAAATTAAACTGAACTTCCATCAGATATTACTAATGACCAGTAAGTCTACGCATGGCGTGATATTCGGCCGGTATAACCTAAACTAAAATTACTTTTAACTTCTTGGAATTTCTAGCAAGCTTTGTATAAATAATTAAGCTTGTTTATAATGGCATCAGTATTTCAGCTTACGTTTTAGTTTCAGATCCAAATGTTTTTGTCTCCCTAGTACTTTTGGTATAGAAGTTATTTATTTTGCCGTATCTCTCTTACATTCGATACATTTGTAGTAAAGCTTATGCCAAGTGAATATATAAACAGATATATCTAATTCTAAAGATTGGATTGTGTATTATTTCTAGTATTGGTCAATGGAGGGATAGATTTACGGACTTTAGTTGTTACTTCATATATACGATAGTTTTTTGGTTCCGATACTCTACACTTCAATTCAGATAAGTTTACAGCTGCTTTCCTCAAGTTTTAGTCTTACAATGCATCTTGTAGCAATCAAGGAAGGACCCTTCTAAACGCATGCGAATTGATTAGTCAACTTAAGTATTGGTAATATTTTTTTTCAATGGAGTGCACATGTGGACAATTTTCGAAAAATTATAAATCTTCAAAACTTCAATATAAACAGTGTCTACATCTATGATTTCAACTGTCCAATACAATAACCTTTTGGACTCTAAATTTTGTAATTCACTGTCGTAAAAGTTGGCAACATTGTATTGTTCTGGTTGAATAAAGTGAGCTTCTCTCTAAAACTTCTTCTGCTCTCTCTCAAAAACTTATTGAGTGAAGATCCGTCACTAGAGCAGTTTGTTAAGAAATTGTATAGAGAATGAAAATTGGCAACATTGTATTTTATGTGTGAAAGTTTCAAAATGTGAACGAATCTGCTTAAACACCATAAACAAAAACTAGAACTGGAAATTTGTCCGAATCATGCATACCCCGATGATCACTCCTTATTATAAATATAATATGTGATTACTATAGCGAAATCTAACAATTAAAAAGAGGAAGAAAAGATTATTGATCAAATAATATGTTGAGCTAAAGACAGTTGCATTACTTTGAAGTATAGTAAGTAAGCATTTTGATGGTAAATGTTCTAGGATGTGAAATTTGGTTGGTGGTTGAATCGGATAATGAGTACACCATTAAAAATCTACTTACTCGAATGAAAATGTTTTGAAAGGCAAGGACTTATCAAGCTATCAGAGCACAATTTTCAACTTTCCTCCAAATCGGTAAGATGTATGTCATTTGAAGATAAATTTGTATATAATTGGGCAGAAAGTGGCTCTGCCTTATCTCGCGGTCGGCGACATAATTGGCGACGACGTTAAGTGAAAGCTACTTCTCAACCACCGTCGTGGTGAGTGGCACTTGAGTGCATTTGAAGCTGCAATTTTGTCAACTCGACGAACTTACAAGCGTCAAGGAAAGAAAAAATCCTGATAAAAAACACATATACATATAAATAACCCCACTGGTGTTATTGTTATTGCTGTTGTAGCTGTTGCACTTGAAGTCAACTCGTTAAAGGTAATTGCCGCTGACTCTGCACATTTCCACGTGCATGTCAAACGATCTTCCCGCCGGCTGGCTCAAGCTTCCTTTACTTGCACAAACTTTTTTGCGCTTTCTTCATTTTGCATTGCTTCCTCGCCACTGTCAGCGAATTCGTTTATTTGGTAGCGCGGTTGCTGAGCTGTTCCTCGCTTCGACGCTTAGGCAATGGTATTATTCTCTTGAGTTTAAAAGGATATTTCCAAAGACGTTGGATTTCTTTGGTAACATTAAAAGCTACAATTGCTTTTCTTGGCAGTTTTCCTGCTTTTTTTTTGATCCCACTAACTATAACACCTTCTCTTATGTCCTGTTAACGCACACAAACATATGCTTGTATAATATGGGAATTTATACTGATTAAAATTTAAATGGCCCATGAAAATGCGTTCCTTTACGAGTTGACTGAGCAAGAGCTTTTGAATTTAGTGAGTGCTTGTGAGCAGTTAGCTGATTGATCCATTTTATGTAATACTTAGAAGCACTTATGGTTTGGTATAGCTTCTTTTCAATTTCAGGATCTTGATTTAAAATTATAAACAGGTTTTTAGAAACATTTTTGATGTCAATAATAGTTTAAAGTCTTTATAAATTATAATGATTTAAAGGAATTTTGGATCTTTAGTTGTTAAGCCAGACCAGACCAGTTAATTTTTTATTATTTTCTTTTTAAATCTCGTTCAATTCTTTGAATAGCATCAACTGTGGAAGGAAAAAGATGAAAATACATTGTTCTTTGACTATATTTGATTTAAATAGTGATTTCTAGTATGTTCTTCTTCTGTGACTCTACTACAGTAGATCGGTATGGACCGAGAACACAAAATTTCGACAGTTGCCTTTATGCTGTGGTCCATAAATTGGATGCGCCCTTGTTTTCGTTGTCCATCCACGGTTTACGAATCGAAGTAGCCTTTCGCTAAAGTATCGTCATCCCAGAATACCTTGGAGCTCATGCGTTTCGTGTAACCATCTTCTTCGGTATTCATCGCTCATGCGGACGCCTCCAAAGACTTTGAACATATCTAACATGATCCATGCGCTTTCTAATCTCATTTTGTTATTACCCACGTTTCCAGACTAGATAGATTTCCGATAGACCACAGTGTTTTAGTATATTATCACAGAATTGAATGTTGAGTCATTCGAAATGCCATCAATCTTGACAAACTGTGCAATATATTATTTTATTATGTTTTCTGCAAGTGATTTTGTGCATTCGGCGAGTAGTCCCGGAGCCATTTCACTATACTTTTAAGAATCTTCTGTTCACCTAGATAAATTAAGCTAAGAAACAAAATATCGGTTCATAAATGCAATTTTAGGAAAGTTCAACCGCCGCCACATTAAGTGTCTGTAATACCTAGAAGAAAATATTAGAAACCGTGTAAACTTTCGCTAAGCCCAGCTATCTAGTAGTAGAACACAAGAGAACACGGGGCATAGATCAGCTCCCACTTTAACCGATAGCGGTTTTAGTTCAGTACCGGTCTTATCACAACGGCACACGATGCTATTGATAGCGAGGTTAGGCGCAGTTTGATCAGCTCTGAACGCACTGTTAATAAGTTATGGCCTCTGTTATCTGAATGGATGGTCACTTCTTTGAAGAAGGCTGCACTCCGAAGCGGTAAATCTACTGATACCTTAATTTCTGCAACCTCGACCTGAAATATACTGCAATAGTCAGGAAGTGTGCCACTGTAGTTGATGATAGTAAAACCCTGACAGTAAAACCCCCACCAATTTTCCCTCCAAGCTTTGACCCATCCGTGAAGAAGCTCACTGTCCCTCACCCACAACTTCCTCCCCGCTAGATGGCCCCCAGAGTTCGGTTTGGCGACTCAATAATTGAAATGATCCGGTATGAAGTCAAAGTGAGGACACGTGCTCTTTTAGGAATTCAGATTCGCTAAGTCTGATGTCAACTTTTGCAGCCATACACCTTCCGAGTGACGAGCTAAGTCGATTTAGTCAACAAGTTCCTAATTTGTCAGAACCGTATTTTAGCATATAGCTGCCATATAAACTTTAAAAACTCTTTAGAGATCGAGATAAAGGTCATAAATACGAGCATAAATTATATTTACGTATTATTTATTCGTGTTTTAATTGGACAACGAGTTTGTTGTCGCTATTTGTGTGCAGTTTAAAATTCTCATTTGTTTACAGATTTATCACAGCCTTCGGAAGGAATGCCTGGCGCAGATAATAAACTCGAAACGATAAGAGCAGAAGCATAAATAAACTATAATTACACACATACACACACACATTCGCACATTTGTTTGTGAACTAAGAGAACTGATTTGCAAGGCAATTAATTAGTTTCCGCTAATACGATATTTTATCTAGTCAAAGCGAACGGTATGAGTGCTCTAGAATGGGCAATTATTTACCGCTACTGGCGCCGAGTGCCAGATAAGAAACTCATTAGCGAAAGCAAAAGCAAGAATGCTGAATGGCAAAAGGTAATTATGATTTTTTGATTGAACTCAAATTTTCAATGGATTGAATATTGAGTCGAACCACTCAGGTTCAAGAGTTAAATGAATGGCAATCGCATAAGTTAATCGCAATTAATTATTACTAAGTTATTAAGAAAACAAATTGCTTTGATAAAGCAGCATTTCGTAGCAATTGAATAATAGTTATTAAATATAATATTATTTATATGGATAATTATGCTTTCCTTTCGGGCAATTGCTTGAAGCCTTAATTGAGTGACGCCCATTTATTTAATTTTATTCTTTAGAAAATTAATTTTATTTATAAGAAAAAAAAAAAAAAAAAAAATCGGAAAGCTAAAAACGACTTTTTAACTTAACAATTAATGATTTTGAGTTTTTTTTAGTTCGAAATTTTTTAGGATTTTTTTTAAATATTATTAACTTGTTTTTTCGTAAAAACTAAATAATTCGAGGATAACTGATTTTTGCTGGAAAAAAACAATATTCATGAGTTGAGGTATAAAAAAAGAAGAAACATACATATATAAATTACTGTTATTTTATGTATGAAAACCATATTGATACAAATTAATATATATGCCAGTATTTACAGTGCGGATCACACCTGTATATTTTCACTTTAAACATGGATGTTTCTTAACTAAATATATCTGAATATTTCATTTCTTTCTTATCGCTTTGACTGTTCAAATTTGGTTGGTCAGCGTGTAGCAATTGCGCAGCGCACGCCACTGGGCCCAGTCGAAGCAGCCCAAATATCCGTTCTGCTTAACGAACGCTTTGCCATCCGCACAAGGTAACAACAATGGCGTAGCACCTTTACTTGTGCAGAGATAGAATTTAGTTGGGTCCGTACTGGGTTGTGGCTGTTTAACGTTGATGCCGCTACAGGCGCCCACTTTAGCCGTATATACACAATTGGGATCCATCAAAGCGATTGGTATACAACCGGTGAGTGTCGCATTACGTACGAAGAAAGTTTCATCGGGGCAATTTTGTAGAATTGATGTATTGGTGTCTGGGTCGCAGAAATAAAATTTGGTGCCATCGTCAGTGCCCCACAATTCATCTTGGTACAAACAGCTTGTATCATCGGCGGCTGTGATAGCGGTCATGGTTATGCCGAAAAGCCAGGCCAATAAAATTACAACTGTAATTAGATAATTGGTGGAAAATACTGAGTTGAATAGTTAATAATAATAAAAACTTTGTACTAGTTAGTTTACAACTTTTAGAAGTGTTTTATATTTGAAGAGTCGCAAACATTTTTGGGGAATATGAGTACGAAATACTCTCTCTACTTTTACTAAACGCTTTTGGTTACTAAGAATTCAAATGACAGATTTTCATCGACTAAATAAACCCATAAAGCACTAAGTGGGTATGAAATCTTATAAGAATCTTTTTATCTTCAAATTTGTGTCTGATGGTACTTGAAAAAGGTGATATCGAGTTTAATAATATTTAAAACATTAATATTTAAAAATTGTTTACCAACTCAAATATAAGTAAATAAAGCCTAAGAAAGAGAAATCCGATTGCTTCTTTACTCGCTAAAAAACTGTCGAAGTCAGACGTTTTTCCGTATCCTAGACTGGCCTAACCCTTTATGGGTAAAAAAAAAGTAAATTGAAAATTTTATGCTAAATGTCTAAATTTGAGGGTTATATCTTATTACTGGGATTATTTACAGTTGAATACTCCCCGAATTTAAAAATGTTTGTTTGCACCAGAACCATGTAATGGTATAGTTGCGAAGCCAACTTTGCTTTTTCATAAAAGTTGAGTAGGTTTATTAATGTCAAATGTTTGATTGGTAGTTCGACCGAAGCCTATTGGCTCTTAAATTTAATTACGGGGTTACATGGGTTTACGGATTTCAAAAAATCCATTTTTTTATTGTCCTATTAAATTTTGCAATATCTCTAGAATATTGTCCTGAATTTTCTAGTTGATTAGGGTAGTAGTTTCAAAGATACAGTCTTGAGAATTTGTGCGCTCGATGCTAGCTAGGCTAAGTGCGCCGCCTTTGAACGCGTTTTTTTCGAAGCTGTATTTTTGAAGTCGATGGGAAAGGTTTCTCGAGAACCATGCAACCGATCTTTATTAAATTTTACACAGCTCTTTCAGATTATATTACTATTGAAACAAAAAAAAAAAATTCTCCAAATTTTCTGTTTTTTTAAAAATGTCTGTTTTCTTTCCTTCGTTCAAGTTCTAAGTTAAGGTTTTAACTAAACTACGTATTTTTTCACGTTAGATGATCCTGTAAGGAGTTATTCTGCCAACGCGACGTATCTCGAGGAAACCTATGTAACTGCTTAAGAAATATTTTTCTTATAGATTACTTTCCGTAAAAACCCATGATTATAATATAATCGAGAATTATTGAGCTATGTACTGCGAACTATGATCTCTTATGACCTTCCCTCTTTCACAAGGCATAAATTCAGTTTAGTTGAGAGTGTAAAAAACAACTTTAAGCTGTTCGCGTACTCCAAAATGTATATTACTTCACAATGTTCTCGCAGCATTTCTCACAATTGGAACAAATATCGAAACCAATATCCGACAATTAGCAGGATAACTTCTTGGTTAAATTCGAGTTTTTATCACTGCTTGTGGAAATACCTTGTTCACCAAGTCTACTACCTACAAGCACTTCCATAAAAAAAATTCATCTTCTTTATACATATTTAGGCTACTCTTTATCGCAATATGTAGCAAATTCTGTATATTTATATTGATTTTTATTGTATTTGAGATATTTTTTTTTAATTTTATTGTCTTCATTTAATTTCTGAAGTATTATTTAATTTCAATGTCTTTTTCCCAAGCATCTATATATCCTTTAAAGCGTTCATTTTACAAAAATTGTAACTCATCTTAAAATCTTAACACATGACAAACTTATTTTCGCACCTTTATTCATGTTGACGCCCGACATCACTTCACTTTAGAGTTTTCTCTTTTTAATTTTTATGCTCTTGTGCTGTGTCTTTCACGATGTTCGCGTCGATCCGTGATAAACAAGTATTGAACGTAAACTGATTTGAATGCTTTTGAATTTTGGCATTTTATTACCTCACTAACGTATCCCAATCGCCAATTAATTTGACTTATCGGGCGCTGTGATTTCCACAGGCCTTTAATTTCGCTGGTGTTATCTTTCTATTTGCAGATATAACTCTATATTCGGCAACGCTATAAATATTCACATGTATTCAGCATAGACGACTACATATATATAGACATATGTACATATACGAAACTGATTTTTATACCGTAGACTCCATATAATAAATAAAGATTGTCTCGCGTGATAAAAATACTATTTCTAAATTAATGGCAACGCAATGCATGAGAAGTTTCCCTATAATTTGCTAGGGCGTTAATTCCAAAAAGTTAAGGGTAAAAGTTTTTGAAATCCATAAATAGTGATATGTCTTATAACACATTAGACTGTCGTAATATTAGTGGGCGCATAAATATTTTTATTTGTGATCTCATTGGCTTCCGTTGATGTAATTCCTCGTGTCTTGTGTTTATTTAGAAAATGCACTCATGCTCCGAACCGTATCTGAAACCGCAAGAGGAGATAGAGCTCACGTTAAAGAATTTTGATTTATGGTGAATGAATGAATGGCGGAACAATGCATCGTAAATTATCGCACATTAACCCGATTATTAAAAAACACTTATGTCATCTTCATGGTTTTTAAGCTCTTGAAAAAAGAAAAAGAAAGTAATAAGCAACGTTCACACAGCATAAGCTATATACAATATAAGTATTATAGTAAATATTCCTAAATGGTAGCTTTTATATCATAGTATTATAATTATTATATATATTTATTATTATAGTAAATATTCCTAAATGGTAGCTTTTATATCATAGTATTATAATTATTATATATATTTATTATTATATATATTTTTATATATACTTTTACTTTTAATATATTGAGGTCGTTTTTTAAATAAGCCGATTTTGTATTTTTGAATAGATTTCTTATTATATCTTACTAGAAACTCGTGATCTCGGCGAAATTTGGTTTCAACAAAACAGCGCCACATCGCACCAAATCGCATCGGTCAAACATCATACGTGTCAGCGGTCGAAATGTCATCGCGAAGTGGGCTTAACGGATGGGCCATCTGAGACGTAGCCACGGACAACATTTGAAAAAGATAATCTTCAAAAAATGAATGCCATAGAATTTTCTTTCGAATGATAATAAACATTCCCCATTAAATTTGAAGTTTCTGTGTTTTTTGTATAAAAAAGTAGGGAATCTCGAATTAAATCTGAGAACGCAACCGGTCAACGGGTTACTTAATAGGTAAGGTTTAGCTAGATATACTATATATGTTTGTATTCGAATAATCCCACTTGAACTATTAGAGACGCTTGAGCGTTGTGATGTTCAGAACGCCTAACAATGAATCAAAAAGACCATACAATACGCATAGACCCAGGCACAAATTCAAAGCTGGGCCATAACTACTCCAGTTCGTATGCAACCAAACCTGCATAGCTGGACATTGATGCAGAGAGAGTTTAGATGTTTGCTTCATCTTTCTCACCCCACAAGTGCAGAGTTGTGCTAGTAGTTTCATGGAACTTTTGTGCTCAACTTCGTTGGAGTACGTCTGCTGCTACCTTAAAAGCTGTCATTTCTGCTTGCAAGACATTTCAGTGGTCTGGCAAATTGAAACAAATACTTGATGGAGAGCTCACCACAGAGACTCCCCTCCAACCTTCCGTCTTCTCCGGCGCCTCCGCCCCGCCGCTAATATTCTTTGAAATATGTGGGCGGGAAAGAAGCTGCTAGGAGTGGAATCCGCGACGCAGTGTTCCAAGTTATCAGTGACGATACCGAAGTGTGATAGGATTCCGGAACGTTCACCTCTGGGACCCTGAATGTGTCCCCGGTTCTCCGAAGTTGATATGTGTGGTTATTAAATAAGGAAAATACAACAAACACCCGTATACAGATCGAGGGATAGAAAATTGGACTAGTTCTCATGTATATAGACGGATAAGAAATTAATAATTTTGAAGCAACTTACTGCAATAAAAATGAGTGAAATCATGTCATATTTCAGTCCGCAAATAATAAATGTTATGATTTTCAACACACCTCTAAAAAAAAGATCAGAGGTAAAATTGCTAAGCATCTCTTTAGACCACAAACGTATCGATTTTAGTACTTCAGTACAGTTTTGGCGAACCACAATATCGGCAAGTTTTGTACAGATGTCGTAACGGAAGAAGTATGAATTTATTCTCAGAGTTTTTAAATAATAATGTGGGCTCAAGCAAGGAAGTTTCACGGTTTTGGGTTCTACGAATGTCGCAAGCAGCCAAAATAGAGCATAGTAATGCCTGCGAGTTTTCTTTTTTGCGGCAAAACCATTATCAAAAGTACTGTATTTCATTTCATTCTACTTCAAATTATTTTACCAATGAATACTGTTATAATACCCATATCTAAAATGTTGCCATAACATAAACGAACATGGTGTGACCCGTCTGACGATGGGTTCATTAAACTTTTAACCACTGAATGGCTTACCGAACCAGGCAAAGTCCGCATATGTACATATACATATACATACATATCAGTAAGTTTGTGTGTGTGCGTTATTTAGCGCTGAGTTGCAGTATCTGTCAGCCAGCACTTTTTGTTGTTTTCTCAACGAAACTTTCCAAACAAAACAGCAGCAAAGTTTTGACAGTCGCATACACACACTGACACATGCAATTGGGAGAGCTTCCCCACACTATTGTTAACTATTTGCAATGGCGGAAACGTCAACTGGCAAACAACAACTCCAACAGGCAACCAGCAACAACTCTAACAAGTGTTAACATAAACAAATCGGATTTGTTCGAATTTAGCTCAGCCTAAACACAAGTCAATTCGTATCGGCTCAGTGCGCACACACACTGGCGCACCTAGTGGCGAAGATGTACTGCAGAGGTCCTGCGTGTGTGTGTGCATAAACAAAGCCACGTTATTGTTAGCATTTCAACAACAACAACACTGCGTTTATGCATTTCATNTACTGCAGAGGTCCTGCGTGTGTGTGTGCATAAACAAAGCCACGTTATTGTTAGCATTTCAACAACAACAACACTGCGTTTATGCATTTCATTTGGCCAGACCAGACAGCAACAGAAAGAACGACACCAATACCAACTCACCGCACCAATACTTAAACCCACTAACAACAAAAACGGTGGAAAAAAATGTTGCAGCAACAAAGCAATCAACAATCAGCAATGAACATCCGACTGGCAATCAACGCCGTTTGCTTCCAATTGCTGTTTCGGTTCGCGGCCGTCTGTGCCACCCTGTGCTGCGACCGCTGCGAAATGCCGCATGTTGGCGAGGCTTGTCAAAACGTTTGAACATGTCAAATTGTTGCTGGGTATTTTTGGCATTTCGGCATTTTAGCATTTTTGGCCAACTCTTCAAACGGCAAAGCACTTGCCAGGGGATTTGCCTTTGTTGCAACACGCACTAAATCCAGGCAAAGCACTTTTACGGCGCGAGTGTGTGTGTGTGTGTGTGTATGCACCAGTTGCCCTCGGGAGGGCTTGTAATCGAGCCGCTTCGTTGACTGTGCAATTAATTTGAGGGCTTAGCTTTTAATCCTGTGTAACAAAAATGTGCCAATTAAGTTAGTCAAAAGCGTTAAATTGCAGCGGCGGTTGCCCGATCTGCGGGTCAGCAAATGTACCAGTAAAATAAAATGTGGAAACTTAAATGAAAATTATTTAATTGTGCAAAGTAAATGGCAGCAATAGTTCTGTAATCTGTTGAAACGGTTATAAACTCAGTTTGAAAATAGAGGAAATTGGATTGTGAAAAGTGCGTTATGCGGTATCCGCGATCGTGAATATTTAACACTTAAGTTTCGTGAAATACACACATATATATATATATATATATGTCTATATATACATATAAAGGCTTTTGTTCCGGCATTAATTATCCAAATTTTAATTTTAGCTCTGTGTTTTATAAGGTTCGTCAAGAGATGGCGTAGCTTTGCATCCCTTGAACAGAAGACAGAGACGCTATAAAGCAACGTATATGTACATGATCCGTGTGTTGAGCTGTGTCGATATAGCCTTTTCCGTCTGTCCATCCACCCGTATATATGAGTCTGTATATATGCCAGCTATTCCCTCCGTTTTTGAGATATCGATCAGAAATTCTGCACATATCCTTTGCTGCCCAAGAAGCTACTCATTTGTTGGAGCGGCGAATATCGCAACACTATAGCAGTTAGTTGCCATACTAACTGAACGATTTGAATGAAGTACTTGTATGGAAGAGTTTTTGACATGGGTTATTGCCTAAGTCAACGGTGCAATCTCCGAAAAATTGTTCCGATGTAGTCACAGTAGCATGTACTGGTTTGCTTTCAAACTGACTTATCAAAGTTCTTGTAAGGAATCTTTTGTTCTTGTGAAGGGTATTACAGCTTCGGTGCAACCGAAGTTAAGTTTGTTTTGTTTTCACTGAAATAAGAACAATTTTGTGACTCAAAAATGTCACCATGATACAGCCGAGAGAATGTTCCAAAAGTGGTTAGAACGATTTAGAGGTATTGATTTTGACTCGGAACTCGAAGGAATGGACGCTTGCCTCCAAAGTTTGATAATGTGGAATTGGTTGCATTAGTCAATGGAGATTGTTCCCGAACAGCAGAAGAGCTCGCAATATCCTCGAAAGTCATTCAAGAAGCCATTTCAAAGCGTTTGAAAGCTGCCAAATACTTTCAATAGCAAGGAAATTGTGTGCCATTTGACTTCAAGTAAAAAAAAAAACAAAAACGTTGAAAAATTGGAAGTCGTTTTTGCAGCGAATTGTAATGAATAATGAATCCAATACCAGATCCTTTAACTCGAAAAATCATTTCATTGCAACACGGTAAACCGGCCGAATCAACGACAAAATCGAATATCCACGCCGCCATGGTCATGCTATGTACATATTTAGTAAAATTAGAGCAGTGCTGTATTATAAACTTCTAAAACTGATTGAGGCATTAATAATAAATTTCCATCATAAAATGCTTGGCCTCATATTGCAATATTTGTTATAAACTACTAAGTAGCGGTTGGGTAGTTTTAGCTGACTTGTCGAATACGATTCATATCAGAACAGGTCATAGCAGAGTTTAAAGAGGTCTTCCTCTTCCTCTGCTTCCCTCGGCGGGTACTGCGTCGAATACTCTCAGAGCTGATACTCCCAGAGCTGACGACATGACCTAGCCCTGTCTCTTAATTCGCTGATCTATGTCAATGCCGTCGTATATCTCATACATCATCTTCTCGTAACGTCGACTCATCAGATTTTGTCATCGTACCTTTGTTCGTTGAGAGACTACTTTACTTCTCAATTGCCTACTCTGTCCGAAGTAGCACCTGTTGGCAAGAGTTATTTCAATGCTGATCTTTCCATTGGCTAGTCATAGCCAAATAATATATTTAATGGGTTTCAAAGTTGCATATAACATTGGTTACTCATTTTGCTTTTCAACAACAACAAATATTATTATCAGGGTACAAGGTCGAAATTGCCAATTACAAACAATAATGATTGTATACCACAGAAACATTGCTTCAGAACTTACATATATAGGTTGATACACACTCATACTTACAAGCATTTGTCGGTTCATATCGATATGTAAACATTTTTTTCGTCTGTAGCACTGATTGCAACCAGCTGTTACCAGTACCGTTGACACCGCTGGCAACTTGCTCAGTCGCGAGCCTCACCCACAGCAGCAACAACGTCGCAGAGAAAGCTGTCATTGCGCCAAATGACACTGTCATAAGCGAGAATGTGCGGTAATTTCTATAAAAGTATATGAGAATGACGCGGCATCAATCAGTCAATTTGTGAGAGTGCGCGCGCACGACGCCGATAAATTCATTAACCTGTTTATGACGAAAACGCAAAAACATATATCTAACCATAAATAAGGCGATAAGTTATCGAACGAGCGCAACCGAGATCGAGCAGCTGTGAAGTAGAGGGAATAAATAACAATGATATGGCTGACGATGGCGAACTTGCAATCGCCGATTACACTGATCTCCCTGCTGGCCGTCGTGTCCAGCGTCAAAGCGAACAAACCTACACAGCCTATTGAGCGAAATAATTGCAACAGCTCCACGCAACCCCACATGTGGGGCGATGTCGACCCGAACATATTCTACATCTGCGATGAGACGAGCAACGCCACGCGTCAAATGCGCTGTCCGGCGGGACGTGGCTTCTTTCGTGGGCGCGGTTATTCCGGTTGCATACCGTACGCCGACTGGCCGGCCTGCCTCGACAGCCCCAGTCTGCCCGAAAGCCAAAACAGCGGTAGTAGTGGCAGTCAGCGTAGCAATGCCACCGTGGAGATATGCAAGGACGAATTGCATCTGCAGCAGACCTGGGCGGCTGTGAATCCGAATAAATTTTACATATGCCAAAGTGAGCACTCCGAACCGTTGCTGCTGAACTGTGAAGCGGGCAAAGGTTATGTCAGCGCCTGGACTGGCGAGGGTGGTGGCGTTCATGGCGGCGAAGGCACGCACATTGCAGGCTGTGCCGCATGGGAGAAGTGGCGCATGTACATGCATTGTACGGACTTCTATTGAGATCTCCGCTAATTGAGGTTAAAAAAAAAAAAATTAAAACTTGCAACGCAAAAACTGAGTAACATGTGCAAATATGTGTGTGAGGGCGGATGCTGCACTGCTGTGCGAGGGGGCCGAGTGAGTGCATTCATGTGTCGCTGTTGTTCGAAATATTCCATACATTGCGCACACACACTCATGCAGCATGTACGCTTCATATGTGTGTGTTGTTTTTGTAAACGTATGCGCTTTTATGCAATAAATTTGTTTTGTTTTTTTGTTTTTATACGACCCCCTATGGCAAGAATGCTGTGGCAGCGCTTTCACGTTGGTAAAAGTAAAAACTGTAATTAAGTTAAAATAGGTATGATAAGTTCCAAAATTGTTTTTCGACTGATACTGTTGATAAGATAGCAGCGAGTGGCAGTGAATTGTGTTGGAAAAAATCTCTGCTTGGTTTCCGTTTAATGAATAAATTGATTGAAATTGCTGTGGGCCATGAAATTGAAATGCGATAACAATTATGATTTCTGCTCACAGTGCTTCCTAGAAATACGACGAGTGAAATTATAATGACAAACAAATATAAAATATGTGTATGTAGCTATATATGGAATCATATTTCTATAGAACAAAATTTAAGTAGATTTTTCAAATATTTCCTCCAAGTGTATATTGTATGTGTGTATAAAGTATAAATAAGATTTTAAATGTAAATAAAAATAATATTTTTTTAATAAAAGCTGCAAATTTTATATCTCTAAATATGAAATTTTCTTAGAAGTATACCTGAGCTGGAATATTTGCTTCTCAGAAATACTTCAAAATTTTTGTTTGACAGGATTTTTATGTTTTTGGAAAAAGGTTTTGATGCAATTAAACACATTTAAACAAGGTTATTTAACGTCTAAAAGACTGCTTTCTTCTAGTTCTAGTTGCTGTTCTAAACAATGCTTGTCAAAATAAGCTGAGCTAGTATTGATTACGTTTTATAGTGTTAGCCGTACACCAGTTTTGGCAATTTCATCCACTATCTGATTACTCTCGATGCCTTTTTGCCTGGTACACAGTAGAAGTGAAGTTGCTTGCTTTTGGCAACACTTCCCACTTTCTTTCCAAGATAATTCTGTCCAAAATGCAATTCGAGGTTAATGCCTTGATTGCTGCTTGGCTGTCTATATAGATGTTGTCTCTGGAATTGCCTGCAGGTGCCTTTGCTTGAAATATACTGCGGTCTGGCAACTTAAAATGCTGTCTTATGCCAAACTCTGGACAGTACATCCCCGCACCACAATTTTAGTATTAATTGATGGTAATATTGCCTCATTATTAACATATTGAATTAGAAAAAGCGTCAACTTCGGCTGTACCGAAACTAGAAAAATACGCACAAAGCAAAGTGATTCCATATAAATACTTGATTCTGATCCTCCTGTTTGTATGACAACTAAATGATATGTGAAGTAGTCGAAATTTTAAAGTTTCTTCACATATTGTAGCGTTGTCATAAAAAATAATATATACAAAATATCGTAAACATATCTAGTCAAATAAAAAATCTCCATTTAAGAACGTGGATTTTATCCTTTAATTTATATGCTGGCTATATGCTATGGTGGTTCGTTCTGAAACATTTCTTTGAATATTGCAGCGTTATCTTGGTAAATATTCGTCAAATTAAAATGTTTTTCATAAAAGAAATATATATATAAATTCATATACTTCATAGGATCTTCCATGTTTCCTTTTTTGAGATAGAATTATCGCGGCAAATCATCTATCTCGAAAGTTCCGATGAGAAAATGTTTGTCCAACTACTTTCATTAACGCCAAAAATTTATAAATAAGATGAAAATTTTAAGTTTTCTACATCTGCGTTTAAGAAGAAATTGGCAATTTTGAATTTCTAGAGTTTAAGATCAATTCATTTTTATCTTTTGTGGAATTTGGATAACTTCTATCTTATACTGAAACTTTTGAAAAAGTGCAGAAAATAAATACATTTAATATCAATTATTTCTAAGATAATAGGTGGCAGTGAAGAAAGAGAGATCAGAAGATCGGAGATGATTTTTAAGAATTGTTAAACAGCTCTTTGTAATCCTCTCCAATGATTCGTTTCGTATATACGAACAACAAGGGGTTTTGGATAAGCCGGGGAAAAAGTTCCTTCAGTAATTTGCCACTGAAATTGCAAATGTGAAATCAAAAAAAAAAAAAAAAAAAAAAAAAAAAAAAAAAAAAAATAAAAAAAAAAAAAAAAAAAAAAAAAAAAAAAAAAAAAAAAAAAAAAAAAAAAAAAAATACTTATTTCGCTTACATCAACAAGCTGTTTCCTCGTAAAGATAGAATCATGTTTAAATGGTGATGCCGTAGTCAAAACGAAATGTGGCAACAGCATAGGTAATTTTTAAATCATCATAGCTAGCCGCCTTAACAACATTTAGCGCAAGGCGCCTTGTTGGCTCTTAATATTAATGTCATCTTCTGCTATTAAGGGGTTTGGTTAGTCTAGCATTTTTAAAAAGCTGGAAATATTGGCAGAATGTACAAATAGGAAATACTTAATACCTTGTCAAATTCACTGTAATGTCGACTCATTGAGTTCCCTCACTTTCAGCAGGTAAAACTTTCAAGGCAATTTTCACGAGACACCATTTTTTAAATTAAGTAATTCAGTAATTCACTGGCCAGAGCATCGTGATTCTAAAGTCTGGCTGCTACTAACCGTTTTGTATCAAAATACCATGTTAAGAAAACCTGTAGAAAAAATTCTATTCCCTTCCGTACTTATAGAACAAATTGGGACTTTTTATAGGGCTCTCAGACGGTCTAACCCCTTTACTCAGTTTTCATTAGAAATACTTCAGTGTACATAATTAGCATATCTTTCTCCAGCTAATTTCGATATAAAAAACTTATTAAGGCAATGTCCAAAAAAAAAAAAAAAATTAAAAAAAAAAAAAAAAAAAAAAAAAAAAAAAAAAAAAAAAAAAAAAAAAAAAAAAAAAAAAAAAAAAAATAAAATAAAATTGCACATAAACTAAGTCAGCGCTTTATTTATTAAGACTACATACAAGAGCGAAGTACGCAAGCAACCAACTCAGCTATTTAATATTAACGCCAAATCAGCATGATTAGTATTATAAATAAACCAACTGCATAGTGAAAAAGAATATAGTCTTTCGACACTGAATTATTGAGGTTACTCATACGCCAGCGTGGTTGTAAATGCGATGATTAATAATAGCAATTTGGAACAATTTCCAATGGAAATCATATATGCGCAACTCAAAATAAATTTTTTTGCTTCCATGTGCAGCTTGTAAATTTCTATGATTGGTGGTTATGTAATAATAGACATGGCAATAGCTCTGCACACCAGTGGCTCATCACAAATAGAAGCATGTTACTGCATATTGATTGTTATTTGAAAATATTTGCCAACTATGTGTTTTTCATTTCGAGTTCATTTATGTGTATATGAATGTGTGCGAGTGTGTGTGTGATATGTGAGCGCTGAAATAGATGACAAACAATCACGAAAGTCAGCTTCGATGAGCGTCAGCGAAATTGAAAATTCCATGTGGTTTCATGCTTGTAAACTAAATTCCAACCACTTTGCCAACTTTGGAAAAACACATGCACATGTACATATGTATGTGTCTATGGTCTGCATTGTAACAGTGAAATGAAAAGAATGTTCGAAATTTAAAAAAGGAAATGAAAAATATTCCATATAAATAGAATGAGGATGTAGTTCATATAGGGCAAAGCTGCCAGGTGAAGCACGGCGGTGAATCCGCTGCAACATTATGTTTGCAAATCTGTTCATAAATGTGTGTGTGTTTTGGTTGACACAGGTTGGTTTGCATGTCAAAACGCTGGTGTAGGTGAGATTGCGCGCATTAGCAATGCCGCTTGCTGCTATTATCCAGTTGACATAGTGCCACGGCTGCGGGCGGATGCGCTGAATGGTGCAACTCGACTGTCGCAATGCATCATGCAACTTTTCAATTAAGAAATATTGCCATATTGATGTGCTATTGGCGCTGTTTGGTGAATGAAATCAAATTCCATGCGCTGGCAAAGTTTCGAACCGAGTGTGGTTTAGAAAATAAATTACGTACTTGATGGCAATCGGGTATTGTTTTCATTTTCATTTGCGCTTTTCTTTGTTGTTTTTGTAAGGCGGTGTATGTTCGAACTGGAGTTAGGTTAGGTTTGTGTTTTGACTAGCGCATTGCAGTGGTTTGGAGTTTCAATAAATGAAATTTGAAATTCGTAAGTACTTTAAGGCTTGATTCCACAGATGATTGGATGATGGAATGAAGATAAGTATTTTATAGCATTTTGAATGCTTCTATTATGCGCAGCTTTTTACAATGTAGAAAAAAATTTCATTGTTGCACCAGTCCGGGTCAAATTTGATCATAATTTGTACTACCAACTTTTATCGCAATCTGCTAGATACGTCAAGTAAAAAAAGTGTGCATTGAACCTATTCAGAAAGCAACAGAAAAAATCGACGATTGAAACTTTAATATTATAACAAAAAAAAAAAAAAAAAAAAAAAAAAAAAAAAATTAGTTCAATAACTGACTTCATTTTGCAAAAGAACACTCCAGCTCGGTAGGATGTTCATTTTGCAAAGGGACGCTTCACTTAGGTAGCCTGTGGGATCATACCACTATCAGGCTGCCTTCGACATAAAATTATGCTCAAAATTGTTTTTTTTGTTTTTTTTTTGTACTTCACCCAGCAACTCATAACTTTTCTCATTCAAGGTTTGTGTCTTTGCTAAACTTTACAAGAGAGCAACTATTTTAAGATGACGCTTTATATTACCTTGCTCTCGCCCCACGATATTATAAAATCATGAAATTATTATGAATTCGATACCGTTGTATAAACCTGTATAAATATATTTGCTTTTGTTGATCTAGTATCCAATATACATTCTATTCACTCATCTGTATGACATTTGGATTTGTTGTATCAACGAGCGTTTGATACGCGGAATTTTATTGATATTTGATTTCAATTTATGCACTTTTCTATTTGCAGATATATTTTTCAATTTGAAATCCGCTGTCAACTATGTCACTATCAGCTTCCGAGCGCGTGATACCGGTGTAATGGAAAATGTGCAAAAGAAGAATGAAAGAATAGAATGATGAAATGTTGATTGTTTAAGATATTTGTTCGTGTTTGTGTTGGTTAACTCAAATTGGCTGCCTTTCAGTCTGCTTTATTGGTATCACATGTTTTAATTGAAATGGAAACTGATAACTTAGTGAGTCAGGTGTTCCGATGAGTTGTTTTGGCTGTTGAGTTCGAAGGTGAATAATTTAATAAGGAAGTGTTGGAGTTTTATTGGACGTTCTTGTTTTTTAAAATATATGCCATTCAAATCTATATACTATTGCCTGTGTTTAAATCAATTGTCGAAGACCTCTGATTGAGGTATCTCCAAAACATTCTGAACACATTAACAACTTTTTAAGTTTTGAAGAATGTTGACCTCTTAGTCGAATTTTTACGTACGGCAATAAAAATTATATATAGTATATGGTGTTAAGTCATAAAACCGATGTTATGAAAGCTTACAAATGCAGTTGTTGAAGAGAGATCCGTTCTCGGCGGCCTGATTTCTTGAAAGACAACTGGCGGCCAAAT